CAATTCCCTTTTTTTTTTTCCATGATGTTGACTACTTGAAGAGCTTCTGGCATAGTCTAATTCCATTGGTACAGGTCCGCTATTCTCTTTTTCCAGTTTGTTTGTATATCTTTGTGGTTTGTTGGGGGTGGTAGTGGAGGGCCTTCCTGTTCCAAACATTGCAGTATCAAAACGAATTGCTAAGTCCCATGCTTCATCCAAGTTGGTTGGTGCTTGATAAGCAACTTCCATCTGAGTTGTGTATTTAAGGCCTTTGATAAAGTAAGTAACTTTATCAATTTTGTTCATGTCTTTGATCTGTCCTATGATATTACGAAATTGTGTTTCATAGTCCTGGACAGACCCAGTTTGTCGTAACTTTTTGAGCTGCTGACGAAGGTAATGTTAATAATTTGGAGGTTGAAAAGCACATCTGACTGCTGTTGCAAAGTCATTCTATATATCAAATGCAGTATTGTCCCCCTGCAGCTGTGACTTTATTTAAATACCAGTGCAAAGCAGCTCCTTTGAACCCTGTGGCCGCATAATGTATCTGAGTATCATCACCATTGATTCCTTGTGCGCAAAAGATACTTTGAACCTGGAGTAGCTAGGCAACAACATTCTCTTGTGGTTCGCCCTTGTAATTTGGGATTCTAATACTAATCTTTGGCATGTTGTTATTATTATTAAAGACAAGTTGTGCTACATTCGCATTGGTATTTGCATTCCCTCCTATATTGAGAGCATTCGTCAATCCTTGTTGAGTTTGGATCAATATTGCGATGGCAGCTAATAAGTTGTCCATTGTACTAAATTAAAAAAAAGTGGTGTGGGTGTGTTAGTGTGTGTGGTGTGTGAGAGTATTTGTATATAAGTGTGTGAATGAAGTCCGCTACTACCAAATTGTAAGATACTTGAGAAATTAGGTTAATTCCCTTGTAATTCTTAAGGAGCGTAAGCGATTTTATTCTTTTATTTAAATTGTTATCTTTATTTTTGTTTTATTAATCTTACAAGTTGTTTTTATATAGAGAAAACATTTGTAAATTTATAAGAAATACATGGAGCTAAAAGTATATAATAAGTTTTGTTAATAAATTAGTCACGAGTTATTAATATAAATATTAATGCATCGCAATCTTAATAATCTTATTTTCGGGAGCATACTATAATTTATAAGGGAGCATATAATAAATATGATGATACGATCGTTATGCTAGTAAATAATACAATCGTTACGCTAATAATAAATCGTTATGTTAGTGTAAATGATAGGGCCGTGGTTATATAAATTATAAAATAACAATAGTATCGAATTCTAAACAGTTTATGCATTAACTTGGCTTGTTTACGTGATATGTTCGTTAAACGTCTATCATTGTGCATACTACGTAATACGTATATACATAAAATTTAGGGCACGTGTAGCTGTGGCTTGTTATATAGGGTGTACAAATTTCTAATTTCATATAAAATAGATTGTAGATCAATTTTGTATAACTAATTTTATATGATATCATATGATTTATATGTAAACATCATATGATTTGACCAATCAAAATTAGCAATTTTTTGTACTACCTAGAAAAAACATATAGCGATCTAGGAAAATTTAATTATATATGAAGTTGATTTTTTTTAAAACAATGCATATCCTGAAACTTCACTAGCATAAACAAACTAGATTAAACTATATACTATTTAAATTTGATAAAAATTAACTGAGATGTCAAAAACTTTTATTAGAAGCATTTTTTTATTTACTATGTAAAAATTCAATATACCATGCAGATTATATGAAAAATGATCTATGTATACCCTATCTTTAATGCTTTTGACATGTATTAGCTAGTAAGTTTTTGAGATATAGTATCTCAGCGATATCGTCACTGATGATAAATAGCAATATTTTATTTTTTAAACAACTTTTAATAAGTAATATTTCATAATTTAGTAATTAGAATTAAATTATTTTTTTAGTACTATTTAATTCATCTTAATAAGACAAATTAAATAATATTAAAAGGGTGTGGCAACTTAGTAAAGTTGACAAGTTGTCACATCTCCAAGCAGCAGGACTAGAGTTCAATTTCACTGGCAATGAAAATTTGAATTATAGAAAATGCATTTGAAAGATTATATCCTATTGGATTGTAGAACCTGTAATAGTGGTCGTATCAGCTTGTACTGGAAGGTAGTGGAACATGTAGTGTGATATATGAGTTACACAAAACCTGAGTAAAACTACTGGATAAATTTAGCAAATTTACAGAGTACGGAGGCCTGCTTAACAAGACCTGAGTGGAGAGGTAGCACAGATCTTTGACGGTTACTATATAAAAGATGATCAACTGAATACTGGAAAACTGGATGAGACTGAGGTGTTTGGCAAAAGCACTATACCAACCAGGCTGACAAGAAAAAATGGAGGAAGGATTCTGTTCTTCCGGGCTGTAGAATTGGAAGTTTAGGTTTTCGGAAGTATGGAAAGAAGTCTGTAAAATAGGTACTGGAGTTTGGATGAACTTTACAAAGGCAGTAGTAGATAACTGTAGCGGCTTTAGCTCACAAGTACTTGTTCTCGGACTCAGTGTAAGTTACCAAAAAGGCCTAGTCTAAAAATATGTAGGATATAGCAAGATTAGGGGGTATATACTATACCCTCCTTAGGGCAACCCGGTAAGTATGAAAACCCTACTGAGTTATCTATGAATTAGGGCACAAGTAGTGTAGTACATTTTGATCTGGATGGTCTTTAAATGTAGCAGCACAAGGTTATGGACCGGTATAATTGTAGGTAGTGGTAAATATACTACTTAAATACCTAATAAAAATTTGCCTGTTTGCGACATTGCAAGGGAAAAAAAAAAATATATTATAAAATTATTTAATTTTGTTAATATAATATATCATGATAAATATATCTTTTTTATATATAATTTTATTATATAAATTTTTAGTTTTCAAATATAAGCTTTAAATATTTCAAATACAAATTATTATATTGCAAATCTTTAATATTTGATATTATATTGCAAAGCTTTTTTTTCTTTTATAAATAATAAACAAATATAAACATACTAAATAATATTTATCAGGGTGCTGAACAACAAATTGAGCTAAATACTGTGAGAAAAAGAAGTATTAAAAAGAAAAAACTTTGCAGAGCTTCTAAAAAAGAGAATAGCAGACCTGTACCAATGGAATTAGACTATGCCAGAAGCTCTTCAAGTAGTCAACATCATGGAAAAAAAAAAAGGGAATTG